AAAACCTATGTAAAACCGCATAAAAAACTTTCTTTGGCGGTTTTTTAATCTGTTTTTTTTTGGTACTTTTTCTTTCTTCCAACAAAAAATCAAACATACACGCACACATTATAAACTATATCATGACATCACTAATTCTAAACCATCATATTTTATTATCATCAATCATAAAATTCCTATAACTTGAAGCTTTATTCCAATTAGTATACTAAAAATCTGTTCCGTTTTATGAGTATCAACTCAAAATCAATCGGCAACGAATGTATTATCTTTTGTTACTATAGATTCCATCACATTTTTGATGTGGAACTCTTATCAAAATCACATATCACTATATTAATTTGTTTTCTTATTAACCATGTAAGTAGTGAGTCTTGAACCTTGACATGAGCCTAACTGCCAAGTAGAGTGTGCCTTTTTCACAGGTTTCGATTGATTTGTATTAGGATAAAAAATTATTGAAATTGGGGTTCTTTATGATAGTGTGTCTCGAAGTTATATAATTTGATAGGGTCAGCTGATATCTCCCTAAGCAGATTATACATCAAACCATCCTGCAACATATCACAATTTTTCTATTAACTTGGAACATCACCTGCATTAGCAAAACGTTTTGAAATGTTTTTTGTTCTTCTAGTTGATAAGATTTTGAAATGTTCGCATTTCGTTTTAGCTTTAGAAATGCCCACTCACATCAATAAGTAATCAAGTTGCCATTTATTTAGTCTTAAACTTTCGAAGCCTTTTGTCACAAAATAGGACTTAGCATCTTTGTCTTTAGCTTTGCAAGTCTTTGTCACAAAAGTAGATACTAAGCATCTTTTTCTTAAGCTTTTGAAGTCTTTCTCATAAAAAATGTCACTTGGCATCTTTATCAAGCAAATGACTACATAAGTGTTGTAGTCTATATAAGGATAAAGAGGTCAAGTCTTGTAACATAACTAGACCGCACGTACGTGTCTGTATTCATATAGATGTGATGGGTGCGAGAAGCAGCCAGACAGTGGATCCGGTGGTGAGCAGAAGATACTCATCGGAATCGGAATCAGAGGCGGTGCTGGTGGTGCGGCGAAGGCCGCAGATGGTGAACGGAGGAGGATTCGTAGTGAGCAATAGCAAACAACAAGTAGTGTTTAGAGTTGATGGGTGTGGAGTTCTTGGAACCAAAGGCAAGCTTCTCTTGAGAAATGGTGATGGTGATGATATTCTTCTAATCCGCAAAATGGTAATAATCACCAACTTTTATATACGGTAAACTTTTTATTATTTCGTTTGATTTCGATGAAATGAGTTATTGGGTTGTGCTAGGGTTTCTTGAATATGGTATTATAAAATTCCTTTGGATTTTGTGGATAAAATCTTTTTCAGGGAGGAATGGTGCAGGCACTGAACATAGTACACAAGAAATGGGAAGGTTTTGGATTCGATAACGGAGGAACAGAGAGGCTACTTTTCACATTAAAAGATCCAAGAGATTCATGCCTGGTACCTCAAAACAGTTCAATCAGAATTTTAGTTCACGATAAACCGAAGAAGATATCATCAACTCGCAACATCTGTAACAACAACTACGTCGAGATCAAAGGATCTTTCGCAGAGAGAGATTGCGACATTATTGGTTCAGACGGTAGAGCCATAGCTCAGGTACTTCACATGTGTATTACAACACTTTCTTAATCTTTCCATTATTGATATGGCCATTGTGGTGGGCATCCATGAATTTCAAATCTTCTGACGAAACAGGATTGAAAAACATGGAAAGAGAAATGGTTTTAAATTTCGTAGTTGCAAAAGTCACCTATTGATAATAATTGAAGGAGAGAATAATAATGAAAATATAATAAATGGAAACAGGTGAGAATAGAGAAAGAGATGGAGGAAATGGTTGGGAACAAGAAGGATCTGTATAATGTAATCGTTAAAGCAAAGGTTGATCAAGCTTTCATCGTCGGTGTCATCGCTATACTCGACTATATTCATGGCGAATCCACTATATGTTAATCAAATTCTATATATATACGTCATGGATCCGACTGATGACACAAACCGATAAGAGTTTTTACAGTTCAAAAATGTAACGAAGGAGCTAAGCTTATATGTAATGTGTTGTTTATCTAAAACGACATTTTGCTTATATCTATGTAATGTGTTGTTTATTTAAAACGAAACGTATGAGACTTCATTACGTAACCAAAAGTAAAGAATCTCAAATATAGAAAAATGTTTAATTAGTTGAATTCTTCTTTGTGTAAGAGCATATGATGTTAAACCACAAAAGTATACTAAAGTAATAATTTCCAAGGAATTTAAATTTGCAATTTTGTTTTGTTAATAATCACTTGGATACCTTCAGAAACGCATTCAGATCGATAATCTGTTTGGTAATTATACAGAAATTAAACATTTTTTGTTCTCATAGATCAACGCAAACGCACAACAAAGTGTAAACCGAATTACAAGAATCAAACACACCATTGAGATTTCTTTACCAGATTCGATGTCAATCAAGCACAGGCGCAAGGATTCTCCGCCGCGGAATCAGCACCGCCGTCGTCAGATCTGAAAACGAGGTACCCGACGGTTAATCCGACGACAATCGCGATGAAAACTCCTCCGTTGAAAGACATAACCGCAAGCATCAGCAAGTAACCGATCGCCGCGTTGACGCCGAAAAGCAGCACCGACGCGGTTTTAGCGACGGATCTGGTTCCGGGTTTGGGGATAAGAGGAGCGGATACGCCGGAAGAAGATGGAGGCGGCGGCGGAGAATTAACGGAGGAGGAAGAAAGGGATTTGAATTGAAGACGGCGATTCTCGAGGTACTGGTAAAAGGCGGAGAAGAGGAAGCAAGCGATCAAAGTGATGATGTAACTGAGCCATGAATCGGTTTTCCAGAAATCGAAGAGAATTGTCGCTTTGATTCCCCAGTAAAAGGTCATGTGCATCATCTTTCGTGTTCTGGGTTTCGAGATTTGAATTCCTTTGATGATCGTGTGTTAGGTTAGGC